ATTGGTTTTCACCATCCCAAGGACCCCAACTAGGAAGCTAGTCTATACCTCCCAATGTGGCTTAATCGAACTGTTGCGGATTTCATTGACTGATGAAGTCTTGTTTTGGTTTGACCACCACTGGCTTCTTTCCAATTTGATCAACCCTATGTCAGTTAATTTCGCCAGTCAAGGAAGGCGATAACTAGGCATGCGTAACACATATCCTAACCATCTCAGTCGATGTAACTTCACAATCACATCGATCGACTTCTCCTCCTTACCTAACACACAACACGCCCAATCTCAATATCACTGACACTACTATACCACTTAACACGGCATGTAGAACGAACGCAAACACCTCTCAATGACCATGTATCATCGACAGCAATAGAGGAGGACAGAAGGAACCGCCAAGCTGAGCAGTACACACGTCCTTTGGTCGATAGCTAACCGGATATCACGTCTACTAAACCAGAGGTGGGGTAAGATGGCTGATAAATGCTAAACGAGCCTTCTATCTCCGTGCTGAGATTTCGTCGGCCATCAACCCGCTGGCGTTGGCTGATGCAACTTCCCAAATAACAAGCGAATTGGTCAAACCGCTCCACCAACCACTTCACTCCTACCTATCTCTAAGCTAGGAGTCAATGACAGGATAGTAAAATTTTTAAAAAAACGATGGATCTATGAAAGAGCAGCATGAACAATAGAAATAACCACACATAGTAATCTCGTTTATTGGCTTAAACATTTAACTTGTAGCGATGAATAATCCCTCAGATTTATTTTAGTCTACAGGTGTCGTCAATCAACACTGGATGTTGATCTTCACGAATTAAGTCGACTGGTTCAGATGAAGGTATGGGACCAAACAACCAGAGCATTTGGTGCAATACTGTGTTACGCTCAGTCGTGAACATGAACAAACCCTACCTAAATAGCAAACAAATAGATTTCGTGTTGTGGAAGGTATACAGTTGCATCTGCATATCCTGAATACCCATCATCATGCGTCGGTGGAACAGTGGTTAGGACTCTCGCCGACCATGCACATGGTTCGCGGTTCGATCCCCTGCCGACGCACACCTGATATCTATGGTCGGCCTGCAAAATTTGGGCTACCAATATCACATGCTAAAAATTCCATACCTGCACCAAAAAATACGGTGTGGAATCAAGCTGTATTCAAAAATCAAAAATATCAAAAAAAAAATCAAAATAAAAATGCTTATTCTTCTTCTAAAAGCTTCTAGCTAGTGAGTTGAAATCTTTCTTCATCAGTATCCTTTTATTTTTTTAATTCCTTTATCCGACTATCGACCAAAGGGCGTGTGCACTGCTCATCAGTCCACTCCGTCCTCCTTTATGGCTGTGAGACCTGGCCATTGAGAGCAGAAGACATGAAAAGATTAGCTGTCTTCGATCATAGATGTCTGCGTTCTATCTCCCGTGTGAAGTGGTATAATAAGGTGAGCAATATTGAGGTTAGGCATCGAGTGCTAGGTAAGGAGGGGAAATCAATCGACGAAACGGTGAAATTACTTCGACTGAGATGGTTAGGACATGTGCTACGTATGCCTAGTCATCGCCTTCCTCGACAATGGGCAATGTTAGCTGATATAGGGCCAGGCTGGAAAAGAGCTAGCGGCGGTCAAACGAAAACATGGCACCAGTCAATGAAATCCACAACAGTTAGTCTAAGCCACGTAGGAAGATGTAGACTTCCTGACTGGTTGGGGTCCTCGGAATGGTAAAAACCAATGGTTGGAAACAATTAGTGACATGGCTCAAAATCGTTCTCAGTGGCTAGTGCAGATGCATCCACTCCTTGTGACTTATGATTTCCAATGAAACTGTCTTGTTCTTCGTTATTACTATTCCTTTGTCTCACACCTCTGTTTACTGTCTATGTTATGCATTTCTCCTACTTTCTTCTCTTGCTTTGTGTGCTACATGGATTGTGGCGACTTGAACTGCCGCACATATGTGCAAAGTTCTATGTCGAAAACCGACCGACCTTTTATTCCTTTACGCCAGCCTCATGACTAACCTCCCCTCATCACCCAGCTTACTACTAGCTAAGCGAGGTTGAACAGTGGCATCAGCGAGTGGTTGAACCATGTGGATCATGTGCATGACTGGCCAACATTCCTACCGCTGAATACCCCCAACGCACTTATCAGTATACAATTATAGTCAAAACCTCTACAAAGAAGTATTATTTTAATTGAATTTTAGATTTTCCCGTCGACTGACTGATTGGACCGAAGTGCTCGGTCTCAGGTTGACATATCCGTCGGCTTCTTGCGCAGATGCTTCGATGATGTCTGAGCATGTAATTAGGAGTTATTTGGTGGATGGTGACTTATAGTGAGAGATATATATGTTGTTAATTATTTCTTAACACAGAAGTTTACACTTTTACTTTCATTTATAGTTAAGGTGATAGTAAAGTTATCTTTGTTGGTAGTATTTTTATTACAGCGAAAATATTCATTCATTCAGACATCTTGAAAACACAAAATAATTGAGCAAAGAATATCCTTTTCGAGAAATTCCTCTTCTGGCTCTACAATTATATGTACACATATGTTTATATACATAGAATATTCAAGAATAGTAATCAATAACATAGACAAGACGGAGGTTATGAAAATAACCAACCAACAACCACAACCACAACAGCAGCAAAATCCACCACCAATCACCGTCAACGGAAGGGATTTGAAAGAGGTTACTTCATTCACTTATCTAGGGAGCATTGTCTCAACTACAGGAGGAACGGACGAGGATGTCAAATCGGGAATCGGGAAGGCGAGAAACACATTCATCAACCTAAAACCAATCTGGAAATCTTCGTCACTCAGCCTGCACCAACAACAAAATTCGGATATTCAATACAAACATCAAGTCAGTCAGTTCTTCTATATGGATCAGAAACTTGGCGGGTCACAAAGAATATTTCCAACAGCCTGTTGCAGACCTTTATCAACAACTGTCTTCGCTCTATACTCAAGATCAGATGGCCGGCCGGAAAGAATCACCAACAAGAAGCTATGGGAACAAACGAAACAAGAACCAATCGCCCAACAAATATGCAGGAGAAAGAAGTGGAGATGGATTGGACATTCTCTGAGGAGGCCGCCGGGTGACATCGCGCGTCAGGCCAACGCTCGAGTGGAACCCGAAAGGGAAGCGGCGAGTGGGACGTCCAAGAGTGACATGGAGGAGATCGTGTGAAACAGTATGGACTAAGATGGATGCAGGTGAAAAGTACAGCAGAAGACAGAAGCAAGTGTAGACGTGCAGTTGAAGCCCTATGTTCCACTAGGAACCCAAGGGAACAATAACAATAATAATCAATAACAATATTAGTGTTTCTTAAATAATATCGACATTTAAAGTAAGATCACAATGGAATTACAGTTCATTAAAGATGCTTAAATTATGATAATAATAACAGAAATAGAATATCAACTAAAATTAAGGAAATTTCCACAATGAATTGAGGAACATTAGAACCTAGATGGCCAAGCGGGTAAGGATAATGTCTGAACTAACTTCTTTTGGATGCACAAGTTAGGATCCCAACAAACAGCTTCAGCAATATTTAGTAGTCGAACTGTTAAGGCAAAATTGAGATTTGTTGGCATGCGGTAAATGACTTTGAAAGCTACCTCGTTGACATCAATCTTGTGTTCTGTATCCACAAGATGAGACAGAATAGCACTGCGAATAGATTTTGTTTTTCCGGTAGTATTTTTACCGGGGCGGAGGGATGAGGGGGTGGCGATCCTTTAGGCAACACATCATTTATTCCAATAATGGGACTCAATTAAGTGAAGATAAAGATATATTAACATTGTATTCTGAACACTTCCACTACTATTACTTTGACATCGCTAGTCACTAGCGAGTATCAAATTAATTTTCAAGAGTACCTTTGCAAGGGTTTGATTTGTTTCCAGTTTGATAACGGATTAATGTCAGTCAGAGAACCATTGGAAACCAACACTGGAGTACTGGACGGTTGTTTCGTCAACCTCGTTTGGGACTCTTCATCAGTATGCACTCACCGCAGGGAGTTCAAACCCAGAACCATCTAGTTACAAGACTAGCAGGCTCATAGACCATGAAGCTACTGGAACCCGATCCATTGGCTAGCCCATGAATTCTAACTTCTGCCAATGTTAGCTGACATAGGGTCAGGATGGAAAAGAGCTAGCGGCGGCCAAACTAAAACATGGCACTAGTCAATGAAATCCACAACAGTTAGTTTAAGCCAGCCAGCCACGTAAGAAGGTGTAGACTGGCTTCCTGGTTGGGGCCCTCGGAACTGTAAACACCAATGAAAGCTGAAGACAATTGGTGATATGGCTCAAAATTGTCATTGTCAATGGCTAGCGCAGATGCATCCACTCCTTGTGACTTATAATATCCAATAAAACTATATTGTTCTTCGTTATTACTATACCTTTTACCTCATATCCCTGTCTACTATCTGTATTTTGCATTCCTTCTACTTTCTTCTCTTGCTTAGTGTGGTACATGGAGGGAGTGTGGTGCACATAGGTGCAAAGTTCTATGTCGAAAGCAAACAGACAGACAGCCAATTCACGACATAGCGCGACCACTAGCCAATGTCATCACTGACGAGTATTTGTCCTCACACCCGACCTGCTGCACCCTACTTATCATGACTTCCCACTAGAACCCCAGGGTACCTACCTACTTGAATAGGGCTGGTTGCTAGTAAGCATTTAATTGATATTCAAGAATTCATGGGCCATTGGATCGGGTCCCAGTGGCTTAATGTTCTACGAGCTCGCTTGCCTTGTAACTGCAAGATCCCGGGTTCGAACCCTGGCGGTGGGTGTGTACTGATGAAGAGTCCCAAACTAGTTTGACGAAACAGCTGCTTCTCTAACCTATGTCAGCTTATAATGAAATCCTTTATCCAATTATCCATAATAGACAAAAAAGAAAACACGACGCAATTAAAGGAAACATCTTACCTGTAAGTCATAAGGTGATGTTCCGTCTGAGATATTACAAAATACACGAGATTTATGCTTTCTAACTGATTGAACCCAACCAATTATTTTGATATTTTTACAAATTATATGATTATCAGTATTGTTGCATTGTTTTGTGATATTTAGTGATTGTATCGAGTGATTGGTTGTCATTCTAACTGACTGGTGAATAGATGATGATGATGATGGATATTGTAAACGCTTTACAAACAGGCATGATTGATGTCGATTTGTAGCATTGATAGTGATAGCATTGATTGAACTTTGAAAGTAGAATCGTTTGGATATATGAAGGAAATTTGTGAATTTTTGATGTAATATCATTGGTGATGATAATGATGCTGATGATGGCGACGAAATCAATGAAAGGCGAAAAGATAAATAAGCTGAAAGATAAATATAATCACGGAATATACACATTTGATCATAGGGAATAAGAAGACAGGTGCAGCGAAGAAAATTTTCTTCTCGACGAAGTCATCATCTAGGCTGTACATTCGTGTATTTATATCAAATGGATGGGAAAGTTCCAGAATAATTTCTGGTTAAGGGTCAAATTAATAAAAATTACAATTAGGAATTAGAATGACATAACAAACAGGGGGGATGGGCAAAACTCAAACAAAGTAGCATTATAATAACTAAGAAGATTGACATTGTGCAATTGGAGGTTAGAAATTGTAGAAATAACAAAATAGACAGGATGTTTGGATAAAAAACTAATGTGATGAATAATTGTTTATGCAATCAGCGATTAAATATGTAGAAATAGTAAAATGACAAAATAAACAGGAAGTGTGGATATGAAAATATGGTAGTGTAGACAGGGATTAAGAAAACTTAAAATAACATGAATAAACAGGAAGTTTAGATAAGAAAGGTGATGGGATGGTCATTATTAAAAAATTTACCTGTTTATGATGGCCATGGCAGGGACAGGGGTTGGACGTAATTCTTTTGGATACAAAGAGTGGGTTTGAGTTTTTGGATAGCTAACGCCTCAGCTATGCCCAAATGTCTTGATTTCACTCCCTTTGATAGGTTTGATTGAATCTTGTACATTACTTTGAAGGATTTTTCGAAAGGCGCTGAATGTCCTGAGTTGACCAGATGTTCTTTCACTGAACCCCCAATTGCACAATGTCAATCTTAGTTACTATAATGCTACTTTGTTTGAGTTTTATCCGTACCCCTGTTTATTATGGCATACTAATTCCTAATTGTAATTTTTATTAATTTGACCCTTAACCAGAAATTATTCTGGAACTTTCCCATCCATTTGATATAAATACACGAATGTACAGCCTAGATGATGACTTCGTCGAGAAGAAAATTTTCTTCGCTGCAGCTGTCTTCTTATTCCCTAAAAATATAATCGATAAATTCAAATAGAAATCGTAGGAAAAGGGTAATTAGATGCATAATACTGATGAGACTTTGATTGGACACTAGTCAGTAACTAGTGTAATGTGTCTATCTAGTGCAGACTGAATTCTATGAGTCAGCCAGGTTTGCAATGTGGCCAGCATGCCACTAGGTAGCTCCCCATCACGATGCGCATTGATTTAGTGATATTAGATGGTTGGAGGCAGTCGGCCACAGGAAGCCTTGCTCTCTTGACCTAGGTTTCGTGCTAGTTTGCATTCACCAGTCAGCAAGACAGGCGTATCTGTAACCTTGGAGGGACTCATGTCCCTTCTGAGATTCGAACCCGCGTCACCCAGTTCCGCTTGCTGTCAGTGAGCTATTCAGGTTCGCGATTGACCTCTTGTAGGACTGTATTGGATATTTTTGATTGGACACTAGTCAGTAACTAGTGTAATGTGCGTGTGTCTAGTCCTATCTTTGGTGCGGACTGAATTCTATCAGAAGGGACATGAGCTCCTTTAGGGTTGCAGATATGTCTGCCTTACTGACTAGTGAGTGCCAGCTGTCTGTCTGTCTGCACATACGTGCGGCAGTTCAAGTCGCCACACTCCCTTCTTGTAGCACACAAAGGAAGAGAAGAAAGTAGGAGAAATGCATTATAGAGACAGTAAACAGAGGTGTGAGACAAAGGAATAGTAGTAACGAAGAACAAAACAGTTTAATTGGAAATCATAAGTCACAAGGAGTGGATGCATCTGCGCCAGCCATTGAGAACGATTTTGAGCCATGTCACCAATTGTTTCCAACCATTGGTTTTTTACCGTCCCGAGGACCCCAACCAGTCAGGAAGTCTACACCTTCCTAAGTGGCTTAGACTAATTGTTGTAGATTTCATTGACTGGTGACTGAGTGCCAACTAGCACTGAACCTAGGTCAGACAAGGTTTCCTGTGACCGATTACCTCCAACCATCTAACGTCAACTGATGAGATTGTTTGATACTAGCAAATATTAAGCATATCGATCTTAGTGAACGCACCAGTTTCCATGGTTTTGTTTGTATCAATCATTTATCATGCCATCATTTGAAATGATGGATTTAAATTCTACTAGATCTACGAAAGTTACATAAAGTTTAGTTTCTGTACCTATACAGACTAAAATAAGCTGAGTTACCAATTTTGTTCCAATGATGTCAAAAACCCCCGCAGATAAAGCACAGTGTTACGTAAGAAAGATAAGAAATTAATGACGTTTAGAACATCCACTGTCTAATGTAGAGACAGACCAACACTCAGGATCTGAATGATAAAGTTACAAAGGGCACCTTTAACAGAGTCATCAGGAAAAAAATTAGAGACTTTAGGAAACTTAGGTAGAAGAACACTGGCGACTTGAAAGGAAACCTTTAAACGTATGTTAGGCGAGAAGAGGACAAAGCAAGACAAGGAATGACTCTCTAAGGACACCTGGAAGCTGACAGAGGACGGAAGGTTGGTGAAACAGAGGATGGACCAATGCACAGATGTACAATCAAAAGCTCAGTATAATGCTTAGACTACTACCGAAGAAGGAAGTGAAGTGTGCTGGGGAAGAGAATAAGACGCTTTCTCGGCACACTGGCAACTGAACCAGAATAGGCTGTAGGTAAAAGAGACCACACAATGCAATATCAAGTAACTAGGTGGTTAACCAAGAAAGGAGCAATACAGATGAAGCCAGTGAAAGATAGTGGAGAAAATCCAATTACTAGAGAGTTGGAACGGTGGAAACGCTCTGTTGGTCACTCCAATAAACTCTTGAGATGACCACTACTTGTGAAACTTATTCAGAAATACCATTACCAGATGCAGAACTATCAGTGAACACAAATCCTGCGGTGAAAGAGGAAGCTTTAAAGGCCACAAAATTACTAAGTGCCAGGAAAGCAGTAGGATTGCATCAAATCTCAGAAGCACTGAATGCGGACGCAGAGACCTCAACCGACACTCATTCGCCATTACTTTAGAAGATGTGGAACAAATGAAATTGCTTGACTTATACCTATACAAGAACTAACTTGTCATCACGCTCCCCTCCAATTCAAGCGATGGCCTGGATGGAAGGCTTCGCCCGGAACAGGCTGGATCCAGGAGAAACGAGTTATGTGCCGTTCAACATTGCACATTACCAAACACAGTCGGGAATGACAGTCACCTCTTTACCCCCAACTTCTTTAACTTTGAAAAGGTTTTCGACAGCATTGCAACTGCTTCAACACTAACGAGCGTATTGTCGCGGACATTTATACACCTTAATCAACAGCTATATGAAAGTAACGCATATCAAGTGGTTCACAATGGAAAGCTCATTGAGGCCTTCAAAGTGAAAACAAGAGTAAAACAAGGCTGGAGACTGTCACCGATGACTTGCCTGACTGTGGTAAACTGCATCATGCGTCGGTTAGAAGACAGGCATTTATTGGACTGACAGAAAGACCCTTAAAAATCTGGCCTTTATAGATGGTTTGTGAAAACCAACAAATAGGCAGAAGAGGTAGAAAAGACAGGACTCCAGACGAACACAGGTGATGCAGATGCTTAACTAACAGCATCAGACGCCAGTGATCATTGACAGAATAAACCTAAAGACAGTTATATCTCACTTACACAGAACACATCCTATCAATTATAGGCAGCAAGTATGAGAGTTGCAAAGCCAGCCAAGAAAGATCACGAAAGCAAGACAAGCATTCATTATTCTTAAATCTGTGTGGAGATCTGCTGTACTCAGCTCAACGAACAAGATCAGAACTTTTAAGTTAATGCTCTGATATGATTCAGGCACTTGGCGTGCGTAAAATATAAGGCATTTCCAACAGGCTGCGGACTTTCACTAGCATCTGTCCATTCCGTTTGATAGTGAAGATCAGATAGCTGGTAAGAAAGAGTGAGCAAGCAACGAACCAGGCAAACAAACTATTTCCTTTCATATATGCAGAAGGAAATCGGAATAGACTGGACATACTCTGGGGAGATCTACAAGCGATAGAACTCCCTAGACAAGCTATCGACTGTACCCTGAATGAGATGCGACATGCTGGGTGTTCGGATGTGATATAAAGCGGACAATGTGAAGAGGAAATGAATACTTGTGGGCGGCAGTTGTAGAACCAGTTGAAAGTGACGGCAGATATTCAAGTGCGATGAAGACGTCCCACTAGGAACGAATAATAATTAAAAGTAATAATGATACCAAGACACCAGAAAACATCGCCTTCCATGATGAGTAATGTTAACTAGAGTTAAATGTAGTCAGATGGGAACGTTACAGTTATTTATAATTTTAATCTGTTTAACTGGTTTGATTTCATTCTTCACTCAGAAGATCGGTGAGAGTGTGTACGCTGAGTAACATGAAGATTCTGAATTCCATCCTTATGGCGCGTGTACTGGTAAATTCTCAATCTAGAAAGAATCAGTTCTTCAGTGGTTCTCTAACTGAAGTTTGTTCATACGGCAATCTACGTTGAGACGGATAATAATAATAATAATAATAATAACATAGTTTGATTTGTAAGGATTAGTTATGTTTTACGAGTTGATCACGGACTGATATCAGTTAGAGAACCATTGAACTCCCTGGTTTTCAATGGTTCTCTAACTGATATCAGTCCGTGATCAACTCGTAATAATAATAATTTAAAGCTACTGGCTTAGCGAGGTAAAGCAATGCGTCGGTGGCCAGGGATCGAACCACGGACCACCTGCGTGGTCGGCGAGCACTCTACCGCTGTGCCACCGGTGCTATGCTAAACTCCAGAGATGAAATTCAACTATTTGTATTTCTGATGAGTGTACTGTTTACTTAACAATGTTTTCAAACAATACAATGGTCATAGAAAAAAATATATATATATATACAAAAAACTTCCCATAGAACGTCAGATCACACACACACACATACACACAAAGGGATTCCTGTCACAAGTTATTTCATTCTCCAGTGGAACATACGGCTTCAAGCTGGAGCTTTGAAGT